CTCTACTTCGACTTAATAGGTCAAATTTCTTAAAAAGGTCTAACTATTTCAGCAAAGCCTTCGAATCACATTTAAAGCCATTTCAGTGTGATTTAAACATTACTGAATTATTGCAGCCTTTTTTCAAAATTCCACGTAAGAACGAAGTTTTGTATGATATTTGCTTTGGTATTTATTTGTTGTCTTGACTAACTTGGTCTTTGTCACCGTTTGTATGTCTATCAACTTTTGCAGCTTAGTATGGTTTTTGTCTGTGACAAAGAGAAACCGGATTGACAACTCCAAAGAAAAATGACCTGGTAGTTCCGTCTGGGACATACTTGATTTTCTAGTTATATGTTGCCTTGACTTCATACTTTGATATAGACAGTTCAGTGGGAAATTAAGAAAAGTAGACTAAGTTGGAATTAGCTTTGAGGTTAGCTGTCATCTCCTACCACGAATATCTGAGGTTGACACAAGTCTTAAGAATATTGATGATAAACGTAGAAAATGATTGATAGTAAATATCGCATAGTAATCTTGGAACAATTGATTATCGGTTTGAGAAGAAATTGATTTCCAATCACATCAAAGTAGCGTTTCTGGATCACATCGAAACGCCTTTTTCTGATAGTATTGAATATTATAGCGTTTTATCCATATTAAATCTTCAGGGGCTGTGAACCAATATAAAACATTTTTTTTTGTGATCTTTGTAAATGTATACTATATCAGTACACAGTAGAGTCGCGTTTATACGGTGGCCAACAATTTGGAAACCCCATAAAGTCGTTTAACTGCCTGATTTTATCACGAACGGCAATGTGTTAATAACTGGGGCTGCAATTTATTCAGTATTGAGTATTGCACTTTTGATAATGAGCAATTGGAATCAAAAGTTAAATATGTTACGGCTCTATGACTACCGATCTCCAAGCTATCCTCAGTGAAAATTGTGCCTGCGCCCTTCAACAACATGTTCAATGGCGGTTATGTTTACCACAGTGGTGTTTCTACGCCCCCCTCCCCCCTCCCCCAGAAAATAGGATATCCCGGATTTATCCCGGATTCAGAATCAATTTCATCCGGCAACTCTTGACTATTCCAGTAATGCTGAATGTTAAATAATGATGTAAGCCTAAGCTCAAGAGCATGAGCACAATAATTTACTTTACAAGTACATCTTGAGGTGTAGTGCAAAACAATCTCGCGAACAGGCTTTGCCCTTGTTAACTTCAGTCAATATAAGAGCAAGGAGATCTAAGGCTTCTTGATTAAGAGTGATAGGTGCGATTCGGATGTGATGTACATGAATTATTATTCTTGAACAATGGGCGACGTCTTGAGACATTTCCAATAATGACTTTTCTGTTTGCCTTTGTCTTGCAATGTGACATATTCGCTGTTTTTGATAATAGGTTTTTCTGGTCAGGTCTGGTTTTCTATTATTATATACTCTTTCCGATAATGGCTTCAACCCTGGACTGTCTCTTGAATGGACATTATCATTTCCTCAAGGACAAAACTAATGCGTTATTCTTAGGACAAAGCAAGAAAGACACCTACAAGCATATACTTATATATTAACAGAAGAATTTTGATTAAAAAGGATTGAAATCAGAAATTGTTGATGTATATTTGTATCTGTGGTTTGAATGGCTTTGTCGTATAAATCTGATGAAATACTTCTAGAATTACTGGAACTGCAGACGTTGGAAGGAATTCAGAATAATGCAAATAGTACAACTAAAAGGTATCGATGACCCCTATACACATAAGCAAGTAAGGAAACTTCTATTAAATTCCTTTAATTTCCGCAATGACAATGATGAGATGTGTCTTTATGGTCCTGAATGATTCAAATCGGAGAAGGGTGCAAGAATACACTTTATATAACAATTATTGTTTTATTAACAATGCAACGTTTCAGGCAAATGATATCATATGCTTGATAAAGCCGAAAGATCGATTGTTGAAACGTTACATTGTAAATCAGTAATTATTATTAATAAAGTGCATTGTTTACTACAGTCAATAATTACATGCCACTTAATGAAGGGTGCAAGAAGCAATCTGTATTGTGGTTTTTATCAGGATAGATATAAAAAAAAAAGCTACCGATTTGTAACTGCCATCATGACCATCCTTGCCAGATCATTCTTGTCACTAGCAGCTTCCATTTCCCCAAACAGTAACAAGAATCACATTCATTCCTTTAATACATAATATAGTCTGGGAAATGACAGCCTACAATTCCAGTCGTGCCTCTCTTAAGTGATAAAATAAAATAAATGAGATATTTAGGCGAAATTAAACTTTCTGTGTTTTTTGTTCGTATCTAGTCTGTGTCAGATGTCTCTATTTTAATATTTAGCAGTCACTGCCAATGGCAATATTGGTGTTCCTGATTATGTCTTGAAGGGGAACTGTCAGCATTTTCGGGGATTGATTTGTGTCTTTATTGTGCTTGAATAGTATTTAGAAGTGCTATAACGCACGAAAATCGCATAATCCCTTCAAATATACCTCAAACTAGAAATTTCACTGTCTATTTCTATATATGTGTTTTCTAAATATGACATAATCTCAGTAAAATTCAAGTCTTTTAAATGTGAATAATTATGGATTCACATGGATTTGAAGACCAAATTTCGACAGTGTATTGTGAACACTATTTCTGATTATGTAAGCTAAAAAAATCCTGATTCTAAAACTTAGGCATGATTGGTCGAACGGATATTGATATTCTTAAATTTTGATAGCATAATAACAACAAATTTTGCCTGTTAATATACATATACATCAATTGTAGAGCGATATAGGAATATCAAAACAGAGTTTCACGCTGTGTTTTTTTTTTGGGGGGGTTCTATTTTGCTATTTCTAAATATTTGCTTAAATAGACACAAATCTAATTTTGAGCTATATTTTCAGAATGCAATGGAAACGTCCAGTTGGTTTGTAATTAATAAAACGAACAATTTGCTTTGTCAAGGCCGTTGCTAGCATCCTTAAGGTGCAAACGCACGAGGCGATTATTTACTTTTGTATCGATAACCGCACATAGCATGGACACCATACCTTTTATATTCGCACCATTAAGTACAGATAATACCGACATGAAGCACGCCTTCGGATATAACTGCATGGAAGAAGAATTTTGCTTGCAGTAAGCTTATATAAAGTAAAAAGTAATTCTACCGTTGCGGTTTAATGATAACCGGCGTCAGATTTTATGGAATGGATAATGAATGCTTCTTGGTTAATGTAATACTATATAAGTAATTCAAATTGCTATTGTAGCTCAGTGTTCTTTAGTAGTACATGTCTAGCATAATTCTCTGTCTTTCTTTATAGAAAATCTTGAAGGTTTCATTGATCGCGAGTAATTTCGACATTAAAATCTCGAGACATCAGTCCCAAATTCCCATCATTAAAGTTTGTTTGGTTATTCGTCTTAACAACATTGGCTACTAAGGCAGTGATTCCGCCAAGGTCGCAATTTGTAGCAGCTATATTATAACTGGTAATAATATAAGACGACGACTAAGTGGTCAAATTGAATAACGACTTGGTACCACAATACGATTATTAATTTTTAAAGACGAGACTGAACATCAGTCTTAAATTTCAAGCTATGTTTCCATTTAGTTGTAACAATAAGGGTTTCGGCTTTTTTAATCAAAAAAATATGAATGGCATAAATTTAGCCAAAATTAAGCTTGGAAGAGACGACGCTCTAAAATTCCAAGATAGCTTTCATTTAGTTGTAACGGTGAAGATACGGGGCAGAATGTGAGCCATATCGGCTGGTTAAGCACTACAGAAAACTATATCACAATAAATGGCGATAATTGTAATAGCAGCCGGAAAGAGACGACGTTCTAAACTTCTAAATTATGTTTTTTTTAATTGTAACAATAAAGAATTCGGGCGTTAGATTTAAATCTAAAAAATGTTATAGATTCATGGAATTAAACCCCATTAGTATTATAACCTTTTAAATGTCCAGGGGGAGATGTTTTTATTCAGAAGACTAATCAAAGGAGTATCTTAAAAACTATTTAGCCACCATTCAACGCTCTATTAGTAGTCGTAACCTTTATCGATCAACTTAAAATGTTTCAATGTCGGTTTATTAGGACTAATTCACTAATTTTACTTCTACTTTAGTTTTTATCACTTTCTTTTCTTGGCTCTTCTTCCTTGATTTTATTAAATCCCACAACTCTGACGTTACTCTCCTATCTTTGAAAGTAAAACAGTTTGCGCTTTGTCTACGTTAGATTTAAAAATGATATAATGGTACCATCGTCTTTTAATGCTATGAGAAAACAGTGATTCGAATACATGTTAAAGCAAAGTCAGACTTATTGGATTTATCCGGACCGTTGCAGAATGTCCATTGTCCACTATTGCTATTGTCAGAGAAGTACAAAAACTAACGTCAACTGAAGGAATTCATAAACAGTGTTTCCATTGCGTAAACATAGTCTAGAAAAACCATTTTGAATATAATTCCATTTATTGTCCTTTTCCTGCATTATTATAATTTATGTATTTACAGCTCCCCGGGGAGAGTGGTTTATTAATTGAGGTTTAGTTTTGATTGAGAGTTTATTGGTTACAGGCTATATTACTAGACTATGTTTTAGCTCAATTGGAAATAATCATTTCAATCTTCTGACGTTTCACTGAGCCACAAATAGCAGTCCATCATTAGGACATTCCAATGAAGACAGTGATCGTCTAGATTCCGAAGATAGAAAGCATTGGGAACATGTCTCTATACAGACCCTGTTATTTCCTTTGGGTAATATTTCATATTTGCATTCTGTTCTTGCTGATACGATTAACTTTTATGGAACCAGACGATTGTATCGTTTAATCTGCACATGCCGATTAAAATCGCCTGCGAATTTCTACTTCCGATCATCACTCGGCGGATTTATTCTGTCGATCATATGGTCGGTACAAATTGGCGGAGGAGGGTATTTTGACCTTCATGTGAAATCAAAATGACGTCCGATTGGTTTAAGAATATCCAGCGGTCGACAAAATACGCCGAACACAGACAGACGAGCGAATTTGCGAGCGAATGGATCAATAATACCGGCGTAAATAATTGGGTGTTTCTGAAGAAAGCAGTAAGACGTCAAATAACAGGACAATAAAATATTAAATAATTGGCTGAACATGGTATCTTACATTTTTGACACCGTCAAATATTTTCAGCAATTTTGAAATTCGCCGCGATCGAGCGAAGAGATAAACTAGTGTTTCCCTAGCTTAATAATTGGTCCCATTGATGGTAGTCCCTCTTTGGAAAGACTTGCACCACTTGTATCTGGCTTTATCAACTCCACATTACTTGGAATATTTTTATAATGATATTTTCGGTACCGATTGTGTGCCTCCGGACATGAACCCGTAAATCAATTAATTACAATCTATTTACGACAAGAAATCTATTTATTATGTACGATAAAGTACTCTGTTTATTATGTACGATAAAGTACCAGTTGGTATTGAATAATTCAGATTGATATGAAATTGATAATGAAAGCTTTTGATATTGAATTGATTCAATATCAATTTCATAGATGATAAACGTTACAGCAATATCATTGACATTCGAGCTTATGTCATAAGTTCTGTAAGAGTTTGTAATTTTCGATTAGATTACAGTGTATTGGAAAAAGATCTCCGTCTGAAGAAATATAAGATCCAGTTGAAGCCTCCAGAAATAGATACAATACCAAGTCAACATTATTTAAGCTGGAAGGCATAATTGAGATATATTGTTGAGGGTTGGTTGACATCACATTGTATGTAGTTGAGAATACTGACTGCAAGCACTTGGCGCTTGTAAAGTATTTAAAGATTACTCACTTGTTTTCTGTCTTTCATATGTCCTTTTAAAGGCTATGGTCCGCCATTTTCAGGGGTTGACATAGACCTTAAGTAAATGTAAATAGTCAGAGCTACTAGAACATTATTTCTTCAAATATTCTTCAAATTAGAAATTTAACTTTCTATTCTATATATGTATGTTCTATTAATGGCGGAGTATCAAGAAAGACGAGTCGTCCTTTGTATTTCAAACACGGATTATTCTGGACACACATGGATTTGAAGACTCAAATTTGAACTGTGGACACTATAACTGATTACTAAAGATTTCTGTTTTTGAGAATATGCAACGATTGGTCAAACGGGTGGCTAACGCGTCTTAAGGTACTGCTTTCTTTTCTAAGCATATTCTTACATTTAAGGTCCATGGCCAGATCAGATATTTGCCAAAATTAGAATATGAGCAAATGTAATTTTTTGTGTCGTTAGTGCGCTCAGATTCAGTTGCTATAAAACATTCGCAGTGTTGAGGTCGACCTGAGCTTTTAGTAGACTACATAAATTAATGTTAGCTTAGGTTATCACAGGGCAATGGCTCGTGAACATTTAAACCTGTAGAAACGTTCGTAATGGTGCATTAAACCTTGACAACATAATCTTTTTCTTGAAAGTAGATTCCAGACATGTAATTTGATGGCGTACTGTTTCTGTATAATTTTCTCCTCTGAGATGCCCTGACAATATCTTGTCTTTCACAGGATCCGAGAATTAACCTTTGCTCGCATAGCTGGAGGTTTGCAATAGATTTTGGCAAAGGTTGTATTTGGATTCTGTGGTCTGTTGTTCCCTTGTCTTGGATTCATAATAGGAAAATGTAGTAAAGCTGCAGGGCAATATATACTAATAGAATAGTACCAAAGCATGAAAAAAAATCTCTATTGTAAACGGCATAGTTTAAGATTGACCTACAAACCTCACTCAGATGTACGGATCGGATGCGGTTACGTCACTTTTTATGTATTCTATTTTCGGGTCCCAAGTGTTCTGAGAATTTTGATATATTCTAAGCTGAACCATTAATGAGCCCATCAAAACATTACTAGATATAAATTGCCCTAACATTGACGAAAGATTTGTTGGACTAGGTTTTTAGAGAAAAACAACCGATTTCAAATTTCATGCTGGATAACCTCCTTTAAAAGTCTAACGTGTAGAATTATTATCAATGTGAAGTATCTGTCTGTAAGCTTGTAATTATCTTCAATAATGATTCGATAAAAAAAACTCTGAAGACATTGATTTTACGTGTCACAATGGATATGACATTCCTACATCTTGTATCTAATGAAGTGGACACAATTTTCCAGTACAGGAAACAATACTCTGAAATCGGATTAAATCTGAATTTCTGTTTTAGTTTTTGAAAGAGTGAAGCTGCGAATAGTGCGGTTTAACGACCGAAGTCTGATCAGAATTATAAACGTAAAATGTATCATTCCTTACTCTTCTTCGGCTTCTCGGGGTAGCGGAATTCTCACAATGTCAAGCTATTACAAAATGTGTTAGAACCATCTACACTATCTTCACAATGTCAAGCTATTACAAACTGTGTTAGAACCATCTACACTATCTTCACAATGTCAAGCTATTACAAACTGTGTTAGAACCACCCACACTATCTTCATAATGTCAAGCTATTACAAACTGTGTTAGAACCATCCACACTATCTTCACAATGTCAAGCTATTACAAACTGTGTTAGAACCATCTACTATCTTCACAATGTCAAGCTATTACAAATTGCGTAAGAACCATCCACACTATCTTCATAATGGCAAGCTATTACAAACTGCGTAAGAACCATCCACACTATCTTCACAATGTCAAGCTATTACAAACTGTGTTAGAACCATCTACACTATCTTCACAATGTCAAGCTATTACAAACTGTGTTAGAACCATCTACACTATCTTCACAATGTCAAGCTATTACAATGTGTTAGAACCATCTACACTATCTTCACAATGTCAAGCTATTACAAACTGTGTTAGAACCATCTACACTATCTTCACAATGTCAAGCTATTACAAACTGCGTAAGAACCATCTACACTATCTTCAGAATGGCAAGCTATTACAAACTGCGTAAGGATCATCTACACTATCTTCACAATGTCAAGCTATTACAAACTGCGTTAGAACCAGCTAAACTATCTTCATAATGTCAAGCTATTACAAACTGTGTTAGAACCATCTACACTATCTTCACAATGTCAAGCTATTACAAACTGTGTTAGAACCATCTACACTATCTTCACAATGTCAAGCTATTACAAACTGCGTTAGAACCATCTACACTATCTTCATAATGTTAAGCTATTACAAACTGTGTTAGAACCATCTACACTATCTTCACAATGTCAAGCTATTACAAACTGTGTTAGAACCATCTACACTATCTTCACAATGTCAAGCTATTACAAACTGTGTTAGAACCATCTACACTATCTTCACAATGTCAAGCTATTACAATGTGTTAGAACCATCTACACTATCTTCACAATGTCAAGCTATAACAAAACTGTGTTAGAA